CTCCTTCCAGCTTCACGGACGCCTCAGGAGGTGGGAGGACAGGTATGACACTAGTGTTGGAAGTGAGGAGTTTTGGGATTAGGAAATTAATTTAGTGACATGTTCGGGATGATGCAGGGACTAAATGGTCCAACCACACCCCTGAGTCCCCGCCTCAATGCCAACCTGAATCCCTTTTGGCTCACCTTGCAGCCAGAGGGGAGCTATGCACGCAGGACATAAGGTGAAGGGGGGCACAAGAAAGATCTTGGGGAGTCAGGACAGGTGGTGTGAGCTGATGAGAGAGGCCTGGGCAGATGGGGACCAAAGAAGCTGGGGATGCAGGGCCAGCAGTCCAGAAAATTTCCCATGAGCACATGCTCTCCCCTTCTACCCTTTCTGGTTGTCCTGCTGGGCTTCTGGGGGACATCTGATGTGACCTTCTGTGGCTCCTGGCAGCCATGACAGAGGACTGTGTCTAGATCCATTTGCTCCCTTAAGGGTCAGGGACAGTGGGGAGGAGGCACCTAGGGCGTGCTACTGGCTCAGTCCTCCACTCTGTCTGGTTACACCTCATCTGAGCGTGGGCTGCAGCACAAGGAGCAGGCTGACGGATGCCATTTGAAGTCGGTGCTAAACTGGGAGAAGCTGAGGCTGTTTTGAGTGACAGGTGTAGAATCCCGTTGATTGAGTGATGGACTGACTCAACCAAGAACAAACACTGTTATGTTTGGGGAAATCCTCCCCACCCCAAATGATGTCGATATCAGTTTGTCGTACCACTTGTGGGAGAAAAAAGCGGTATTCCAGTCTGCAGTACACAGTGCGTGACATGCAGATCTGCCAGGAAAAGCTATTAGCAGCGTGGTTCCATTAATAGAGGTAGTGGCTCCATCAGGGGGAGGTGGTGATCTTCATTTATTCTGCACATATCCACGGAAGTGGAATTACTGAGTTAATGATTAAGGGTGCTTTTATAATTCCCAGTATGCATTACCAGAGTGATTGAAAGCTGACATGTCCCCATCTTCCAGCCCACCAGCACATTGCAGAGACTGTTCCTTTCTCTGCACGCACACCAACACTAATCCCCAGAGGTAAATAAAAAGGTGTTCAATTTTATTGTCCACTTGCTTATTAACAGTGACAACAAATCTCATGGTGAGTGTCTTCTGTGAATGTGGGCTCCAATTTCCCAAGGTTTTTTGATTGGTTTGGTTTGGTTTGATTTCGGTGTGCTCTCGTATGATTTGAACAAGAAACTCACCTCACCTCCCTGGTGTTGATCATGCACTTGCATCTGCTGTGAGGCTTCCAGAAGGAATGGTATGTTCCATTATGATCCCCTGCATCTCTTCTTCTTTTTTTTTTCTGGCTCCTGAGTAGATGCCTTGGTCTCCACTTGCATGCAATGTCCCGTGAAATTCCTGAGAGTCTTCCAGGCCATATGCTCAAGGCGCTACGCTCCCAGGGCAGGCATGCTGCAGCTCCTTCCCTGCCTTCACCACCATCTGCACACGTGGCTCTGTCTTGACGGGCAGAGCTGTGACTGTGGGAAGGATCTGCCCATAAGGGCAGAGGGCTGCGTGGCCAAGCTCCGCACAACGAAATCAGCCTTCTTTGTTCTGGAGGGAAGTTGGGGGCTTGGGGTTTGCTGAAAATGGGTGTGTTTAGACACACCTCTAAATCAAGCCCAAATTTTTGTTTATATAAGGGGTATAACAAGAAATCCACGGAGCCTGTTTAATGGGCAAAAGAATTTTATTGAGGGAAAAAAACTCACTGTACAGAGCAGAATTGACACTGGTGGCCACCTGAATTGATTCCGGCCACCTGAATCAGTCCTGCTTCCAAGTCCCACAAAGGAACGAAGAGCCTGATACCTACTGCATCTCAGGTCTTAAGGGCTGCCGAGAGGCCACGCCCCAGGGGCATGGACTTCAAGGTCTTAGGCAGGTGGAGCAGTCACCTGCTGCCTCTCTAGGGGAAGTGCTTCAAGGTCATAGACAGAACAGCTACTCACTACAAGAGAGAGGTGTCCTTTTGATGGCTCTTTGGTGTGAGCTCTCTTCCAGTGACAGACATCCCTCACCTGTCAGTGGGGACAGACACCCCACCTGCCTCTCCCCCATCTCTGTCTGGACTCTAGGGGCTGGGCTCCCTGTGCATCGAGATTGCCTTTCAGGGCAGGTGTGGGGCCTTCATGGCTTTTAGACTCCTCAGATCCCTGCAAGGGAGTCTCAGTGTATCCCAGAGACTAGCTTCCTGGGGAGAAGACCTTGAGTCACTGGCCAGGGAATCAGCGATGCCTGCAATGTTGCTGACCTCAGAGCCCACAGTCAGCAGACAGGAAGCTTTCTCTCAGAGCTCCCAACCAATCTGAGCACTAGGTCAGGATCTGGCTCTGTGCCAAAGGCAGCCACCACCTGTTTTTGTTGTTGTTTGCTTTCTCTCTCTCTCTCTCTCTCTCTCTCTCTCTCTCTCTCTCTCTCTCTCTCTCTCTCTCTTTTGCATAAAAACGATGTTGGCTGTCTACCGTTTCTTTGTTTATGTAACATCCAAGCTGCGATTATGCTGTGGGGAAAAGCTGCAACGCCAAGGGTGTGGCCTGCAGCTCCTGAAAGAGCCGCTACGTGCTTTGTGGAATGAAAGGGCTAGCTCTGGAAAGATGGTTGCAAAGTCTGGTACCCTGCAAAGTACACCCCATACTGTGGCAAAGAGGAGATGGTGACCATGAGCAGTGTTTCTGGACAAGCGCACAGATTCCAAGTAGAGATGCCTGTATGCCAAGGATGTACTTAACTCATCCTGAGAGGTTTGGGTTCTTTCCTGTTGATAAGCTTTTGGCTTCTATGATATAATAAGGATGGTAGGCTTGTAGGTGTGTGTGTGTGTGTGTGTGTGTGTGTGTGTGTGTGTGTGTGTGTGTGTGTGTGTGTGTGTGCGCACTTATGTGTGTGTCTGCACATGAGTGTAAGTGCAGTGGAGGCTAGAGACAAGCCTTAAGTGTCCTTCCTCAGCCACTGTGCACTGGTTTGGCTTAGCTTGGGTTTCTTGGCTTGCTCTTAAGACCAGTCTCTCATTGTCTCTGCTCTTCAGAGTGAGGATACCAAGCACTTGCCACCACACCTGGCTTTTTAAAACATGGTTTCTAGAACTGAATGTAAGTCTTTATGTTTGCAAGGCAAGCAAGCACCTTCCCAATGGAGTCATCTTCCCAGACTGCTTATAGTTGTTTTTAAATTATTTTAAAAGATAGCTCATGAGCTCATGATTTATTCACATCAGGAGTCAGCTTTTTTGTTGTCTGAGCTTTGTCCCATTTATCTATCTATCTATCTATCTATCTATCTATCTATCTATCTATCTATCTATCTATCTATCTATCTGCTTACTTACTTATTTACTTACTTACTTAGTGGAGGCCATGATGTGCCAAGGTGCCTGTGGAGGCCAGACAACACACTGACAGAATTGGTTCTCTCCTTCCATCATGTTGGTCCAGATTAACTTAGGTTGTCTGACTTGGCAGCAAGTGGCTTTACCTACTAAGCCATCTTGATGGCTTATTAAAATATATACATACATACATACATACATACATACATTTATATATACGTGTGTGTGTGTGTGTGTGTGTGTGTGTGTGTGTGTGTGTGTGTGTGTAAATAACTGGAGCTACAAAGATGTAGGTAAGGGCCCTTACTGCTTAAGTCTGATGACCTAACTTTGGTTCTCGAACCCACATAAAAGTGGAAGAGGAGAATGAAGTCCAGGAAAGTTCTCGCTGATCTCCATGTATGTGCCATGGCATGGATACCCACACATACATATCAGAGAGAGAGAGAGAGAGAGAGAGAGAGAGATTTACAAATATTCATTCTTAACTGTCCCCAAATAACAGAAAAACTACTCCCTGTCAATCTCCCAGTCAGGAAGCACTAATGTCCCACTTTGGATAACTCATTGGAAAGCTTCATAGTTATCTGTTTCTATTCCTCTTATCTCTTGGCATGTTTGAGAGCACCCCACCTCACTTTGCTTTAGTTTGGGGCTGTGGCTATGGGACCTTTGGGGGGTAGGGCCCCTCTGGCAGAAGTAGGTCACTAGAGGTAGGCCTTTGAAGGTTATAGCCCTACCCTGGCTCCTTCAGCCTTCTCCACTTCGTGGCCCACCATGCTGAGAGGAGGCCCACCGTCCTTCACCACACTCCAACCTCCTTCCTCACCAAGATGGACTGAAGTCCTCTGAAAGGGTAAACCAGAATCAATCTTTCCTCCTTCAGGTTATTCCTGTGAGGTGTTAGTCACTGTGACAGAAAAGTAAATAATACACCATGCATACTCTTCATGTTTGAATGTGTATGGGGTGGGTGGATAAGTGGGTATGGGTGGTGTGTGTGTGTGTGTGTGTGTGTGTGTGTGTGTGTGTGTGTGCAAGTGCGGGCTTGCTATCGAGCACACGTGGAATCAAAGGACAACCTCTGGTATTGTTCCTCAACTTCCACTTTATTTGAGACAAGGTCTCTTGGGTCAGTGCTCTGCACACAAGGCTAACCGACCTGTGAGCTTTGAGGGACTCCTCTGTCTGCACTCCCCCGACCCACCAAGTCCTAAGCACAATGGGATTGCAGATGCATGCTAATGTGCCCAACTTTATGTGGGTTCTGGGAATCTGAGCTCGGGTCCTCACACTGTGTCAATTCCTTTACTCTCTGAGCCAGCTCCCTGTTCTTGTAACCATATTTTTGCCAGCAACAGCCTTACATTCTTGTTCCCATGTTCATTCATTCACCCATTCACTCACCCTCACTAAGCACTAAAGACCATGTGGTACATAAGGTGACCTCAGACTCCCTGATCTCAGTAGGTTTCAAGAGTTTGACTTCACTCTTGAAACCTACTGAGGTGTCCTAAAGAGCTTTTGTTTGTATTGATTGTATCTATTCATAAGAAAAACAGTGTATCCTCAGAACTGTTAAATATTTACCTAACAATGTATCTGATACACAACCCACTATATGTTAGCATACATATTTTTTATTCAAAACAACTACTTTTCAAAATAGAAAAAATAGGAAAGGTAATATAAATGCTTTTGTAATTATCTGGATCAGTAGCAGACAGCAGAATTTGTCTATCTGTCTCTCCTTCCAAGTCTCTTGAGATTTAGAAAGAAACTTTCTAGACCACTGTTGACCTTCTGCTTTGATGTTACACCAGAACTCAGCAAGTGAAAACCTAGGCCCCAGCAACAAACTTGCAGAACCTGGTGACATCAGGTGAACTCAGAGGCTCCATCTTGCATCCTAGTAGGTCTCTGACCTATGCACAATTTTGAAGTGAGATGCATTGGTCGCTAGGAAGATGCTCACCAGCCACACAGACATTTCACAAGACTGATGGGTTTGATTATTAGATACCAAATAATCGCATTAATTTCTTCCACTGGTGATGCTACCAGGACACCCATTAAGTGTTGGGAAGCACTCAAACTCATACACACAGTGAACACAAGTTGTCCAGAGTCCCACTTCTATGGAATGCTTTGCATTTTAGCATTGGCCACAATATTGCCCATTGTTCTCCTGGGAGGGACAGGCTCCATCCATTCTTCTTTGAGCAAGTATCTCCAGACACCTTATCTGAAGAGGTTTGCTTTGCCTGTCACTCGTGCTTTTGAGTGGATATCCCATGCAAATGTTGGCTGCTTCAATCAGATGCTCAGTCTCATAGATCCCTTTCCTTGAGGCAACCATGGCTCTGTAGGGAGAGACAGAAAGGCTTTGGCCAGACTCCCTCCCAGGACCTCACACCACATAGCAAAAAGATACGTGCTCCGGGGTGCTAATTAGATCCATAATTTGTTCTGCCTGTCAAGGATGCATCTTTTCCACTGTGTGGCCAACGACATGCTCGTTCCCGCTCGAGCACCACTGCCGCTTTTGTGCCCTCAGAACAAACGGCACATCTTGCCTTGGCAGTGTTGCATGAGTCATTTGCCCTCACGGACCTCTTGAAAGCGTTCGCAAGCACACTTTGGAAACTTCTGTCTTTGTGAGAGATATACATGGACAAACTCTTCCCACAGAGTTATTCACTATCCAGTGCTGGAAGTTGGCAGTGAAAACCCATGTCAGAATGGGGAAAGTGGTACCACTTTTGCATTATAGTGAAATATGCATGGCATAGAGTGCACCATTTTAACCATTTTATGTGCGACTCAGTGGCATTAGGTACATTCACAGAGACATGAAACCATTGCCATCCTCCATCTCCAGGCATTACCATCCTCCCAAAGAAAAACTCTGTACCCATGAAACAGCGCTGCCTACTCCATCCCTGATGCCAAGTAGCTACTGCCACCCTCTCCATCTCTGTGACTGACTGCACCTGGCTCTCAGAGGAATAAGATCAAATTGTGTCTGGCTCTCTGTGGTGGGCTTGTTTCACTTAGCATAACACCTTCAAGGTCCATCCATGTGGCAGCTGATGGCAAAATTTCCTTCCTTCTCTGGCTGACTAATATTCCATCATGTGGTCTATTACATCACATCTTTCCATTCATCATAGATATTTGGGTTATTTTCATCAATTGGCTATTGTGCATTAAGATGATGTTATTATTATTATTATTATTATTATTATTATTATTATTATTATTATTGCAAACCCTGGTCTAGCCTTTCAATCAACTCCTGATTACTCTTTCTTTGCTCAACAGTACATCATCAGAGGCTTCCGGTCCTTCTATTTCAGCATACCTCACTCCCAGCCCAGGTGAGCCTGTACAGTCAAGGACATTTGTCTAAAGCACACCCGCTGTTCAGGCCTGATGTCCCCTGCCTCCTGCATCCTTCCCACGCTATCTGCACTCTCACCACCCCACAATGGACTTCAGCAATAGCTGCTCTGTTTGTTCCATTCCAGCAACTCTTCATTGATCTGCTGTTTCTACCAGTTAGAGTCCTGAGCACGGCCGCACCTTAGCCTGTTAAATCTGTTGCTTGCATGTGTTCAAGTTGAACAGTTCAGCTCAATAAAGACAGAGGAATCAACATGTAGGATGTAGGTGTGGCAGGGAGATTTCCCAAAGTTTAGGGATCCCATTAGATCACTGTGGACGCCATGGTTTCCCTAAATCATCCTTATCAATCATTTAGAAATTTGATTATGGGACTTACTGTTTCACTCACTGTTCTGGCCGATATGCTACAGCATCCAATAAATTGAGCCTTGAATGAGAGGTGGGTAAATTGACCCCCCATCGCAGAGAGGATGCTGGACATCCTGTGAAACGTGTTGTATTTCTCAGTGGCTCCAAGCAAGCAGCCGTGGCAGGCAGCACCTTTAAGCTCTGAGGTCACCCTTGACTCTGTGCACCTGTTGGCACTTTCTGCTCTGCATCCTGGGTTCCCAGTGGGAAGAGCTCCGCCTGCTTTCACAATGAGAAACAGGCGTTAGAGACACAGTGGGGTAGTGAAAATGAATGGCCTGTGTAGTGGGTAGCTGTTCCAGCTTTGACCTGGAAGTACTACCCCCATTGAGGCTTCGGTAACTGTCACGCCTACAAGGCCTGGCCGAGACAGGAGCGCTTAAGACCCGAGATCCCGATGTGCTAGCTCTCTTGGTTCCTGGATCCTGGACACTGGAGGTAGATTGAGCAGAGTTTTCCAGAGAACACTGCTGGACTGCGCTACACCTTTCCCCTACCCTGTAACCTATCCCTTCACTTGTAAGTTACCCCACAAAATAAACCTCCCTTTTAACTACGTAGAGTTGCCTTAATACTACAACCAATAGGCCTGCCTTGCAGCTGCAACACCCCACCCCACCTCACCCACCCCACCCCAGGCCTCTGCTCTTGACCTCCTACTGTATACAGAGCTGCAGTATCTGGTGCTGAGAAGGAATTCCCCCAGAAGAGTTTGTAGAGAGGTGTAACCATCCTCATTTACAAATGAGATCCAGAGAGGTTAGGTCTCTTAGTCAAAGCCACTCTGCTCACAAATTCATCTGCAGTTGAAGTCCATGCCTCCAGACATCAGCTCTGATGCCTTTCTTATGGTGGAAAAATAGGTGACACTCATACCTTGCCTAAGAACTACATAGATGACAACACAACATGTGTGCTCACTGCTCCTGCTGTAGACGAGCTACTACCAACAAGGGAACCAAGCGGTTCCTAGGTGTGTGGCTGTCACACAGTGTGTCATTTAATGCTAAGAAGGGGCGTCATTGTCATCCCCCTGCTGTGTCAGCACACATGAGGACTCGGAAGGCTATGAAATCATACACATGTAGGTTGCACATGTTTGTGTGACTAGAAAGCAGAAGGAGGGAGTGTTGGGTCTGGAGGGACTGCTCAGTGGTTACTCTTGCAGAAGACCTGGGTTTGGTTCTCGGCTCTTACAGGATGGCTTACCACTGGCTATAGGTCTAGTTTCACAGGATCTGATGCCCTCTTCTGGCCTCTGCCGGCACCAGGCATGCACTCGGTATACATATGTACATGCAGGCAAACACTCACACACATAAAACAAAAATGAGCAAATCTGGACAATAAAAAGAACGTGTTTGGTCAGAAGAAGGGGGCAGTGTGGGGGAGGAGCAGGGAGGGCAGTGGCGTATGAACAAGGTACAGTGATGTGTCTCTTAAAATGTTTTCGTAGAGCCTATTGTTTTGTATACTAAAAATATTTTTTTTTAAAGAAAGTAAAGTCACTTGACATCACAGAATTGGTAACTGTGGACAGGCTGGGCAATGGTGGCGCACGCCTTTAGTCCCAGCACTCCGGAGGCAGAGGCAGGCTGCGGATCTCTATGAGTTCAAGGCCAGCCTGATCTACAAAGTGAGTTTCAGGACAGCCAGGACTGTTACACAGAGAAATCCTGTCTTGAAAAAAACAAAAGAAAAGAAAAAAGAACTGGGGACCCACTTCAAACAAGGCCTGCTTGATTTCAAAGTTCCCATTTTACCTACCACATCCCAGAGCTAATGTGATGAGAGGCGCCACTGACGCAGAGAAGGCCATTTGGCACGGTACCCTCACCTTGGACTTCAGGTCAAGGGCTCAGCCATGCTTCTTGTGTGTTGCGAAACCCTGGGTACGGGTAAGTGCACATTCCTGGGGGACAAATTCAGCTTCGATGAGAAAGGGAAATAAATTTAAGACTCACAGACCTAGTTTAACACTAGTGTCTAAATGGAGAAACAACCACCCAGGGGAGAGATGCTTCCAAGCTTTGCAGCCTGTGGTAGCACTGGGACCCCACTGCGTTGTCCCAGCTTGCTGGTGGCCTTGCATCCCCTTCCTCCCCTTCAGCCTGTGCTATTACCTGAGAGGAGATAAGGCATGGATGGAGCAATGATTTTAGGAGCTAGTCATTTGGAATGGGACTGGCCAGGTATCCTGGATGGACCTGGTCTCAGAAAACAGAACATGAAGGAGACAGCCTATGAACAAAGCTCCGATTGGAGTTTTCCCAAAACTCCAAGAGGCTTCCATTTAAGTGTGAGAAAGAGTAGAAGATCTGTTGGATCTAAAAGGCCAGCCTTGGGACCTGTCTATCTCTCAGGTTTATAATTTCACTGTGTTCCTCCACCCATTCTGATGCAATGGTCACTACAGCAGAAAGAGCCCTTGACGGAAGAAAGGCGGGTCTGTCTTCCAGGGAACAATCGCTCTGTTGTCTGAGGAATGCCACCCAATATGATAGGTGAGATGTCGATATGCAGGCCCACTCTACCCGTCTGGGTTCTTGCTTGTGTTTTTTTGGTCAGTGTCAAGTTTGTCCTGCTGGCCAAGAGGCAGGTTTTAACTTCTCCAGTAAGTAAGGAGGCATTGGGATGAGGTCACGGGTCCTCTGATGTCATTTGAGATAGCTTTCTAGCTTTTCCTGCCTATTTCTGCTCATGCACAGGCTTGATCCAGCGAGAGACACAGAGAAGAAAGGATGGCCAGAGAGCTCAGAAGGTGGAGGAAAAGCCAAGACAGGAAGACAGCGGAGGCCCCTCACTGAGGACTCTATACCCTGCTACCAAACAGTGCAGATACACCTAAATCCCAGGGAACATGGCTTCTCACCCACTAAGTCCGACTGTGGCCATGACTTTTGCCTCTCAGGAGGATGCTCTTAGTGTTTGGAGACATTTGTCACAACTCTGGTGCTGAAGCTGGTAGAAAGGCCAGGGCTGGAGAGAAACAACCTGCAATGGCTAGGATAGAGCCTATTCCTGAATGTTAATAGCGTCAGCACTGAGGAATCCTAAAGGAAAAACACCAACTACCTCAGGCATTACGTACTGGTCATTCCCACTGGCCATCTACACTGGTCACAGAGAGTGATCTCAGCAAAGAACCGTCCAGAACAAAATGCCAGTAGTGTCAGGTTGGGACTCACCTGGTATGGTAGTTTGAATGTAATTGGCCCTCGTAAGCTCATAGGGAGTGGGCACTATTAGGAGGTGCGGCTTTGTTGGAGTTGGTGTGGCCTTCTTGGAAGAAGTGTATCAGTGTGGGGGTCTCATATATGCTCAAGCCATGCCTGATGCCTCAGACTACTTCCTGTTGCCTGTGAGTCAAGATAAGAACTCTCAGCTCCTTCTCCAGCACCTTGTCTGCCTGCATACTACCTTGCTTCCTGCCTGCTAATAATGGACCGAACCTCTGAACTGTAAATGAGCCACTCCAATTAAATGTTTTCCTTTATAAGAGTTGCCATGGTCATGGTGTCTCTCCATAGCAATAGAAACCCTAACTAAGACACCTGGTTTAAGGTGTTATGCCCTGTTCTAGTTTTACCTTGGTAGCTATGATAAAACACTCTGACCAAGGGCAACTTAGGAGGGTAAAGGGTTTATTTTAGCTTACAACCCAGGTCCCAGCCCATCACACTGGGGGCAGTCAGGCAGGAACTTGGAGTAAAGCCATGGAATAACGCTGCTTGCCAGCTTGCTCATAGGATCATGTTTAGCTAGTTTTCTTCTAAAGCCCAGAAATACCTTCCCAGAGAATAATGATGCCCACAGTGGGCTGGGCCCTCCTACATCAGTTAGCAGTCTAGACAATCCCCCACAGACATGCCTACAGGCTAATCTGATCTGGGCAGACTCTCAATCATGCCTCCCTTCTCAGGTGACTCTAAGCTGTGTCAAGTGGCAGTTAAAGGTTGGCGTCCTAACTCACAGAAGCCAGGCACAACCAATTGAAGTATAAAGTGGAGCCAAGAGCTACGACCTGCCTTTCCAGTCTCAGAAAGGGCAGGGAGCAGGCTGCCCAGCATTGGAAGGCAGGACCCCAAGGGCAATCTTCTCCGAGTGCCACCACAGGGTCACTCAGATTCTACCCTTTAGCCATTAACAAGGGCATGTAATCTCCCAGGAAAGAGCATCTGGCTGGCTGGCTGGCTGGTTTGGCCTTAGAGCTGGGTAAGGCGACAGAACTACCAGGCCTCAGAATCAACATATGCCCCCAACTCAGTTACCACATGCTGTGATTGGCACCATTAGTCACGGGCCCTGTGTCCTGTGACTCCACTCAGAGGAGCCAGACAAGGCAGTTTGTCCTCTAATCCTTGGGAGAACTGACCTGAAATTCACTAGACTCAATCTTTTTAAAAAAAGAGGTCTAAATAGGTGTTTCTCCACCGCATTTCCCATTCTGTGGATTAACTTGACAGACACTACATGGTGCATAGTGCCGGGATGCCAGCACAAACACGGGGTACAAGTCTCATGTAAGACGTACTGAGGGTCTAGTAAAGATGAGGGCAGTTTGGGGCAAAGAACAAGAGAGAGGGGTGTTGAGGGGAGGTACCAAAGGTGGTAGTGGTGATGGAGGAAGGATGCTCGGGAAAGAGAAGGGTCTAGTCAGTGAATACCGGGGTTCCATTTGGGACCCACCCACCACAAAGGAGCCATTCAGGCTAGGAGAATCCAGGGGGGAGGTGCTGTGGCTTCCAACAGTGTGTGCTGGAGGGTCTGTGAGCAGCAATTGGGGTGAGCTGCCCTGTCCATTTGCCACCCCACATGTTATCAGTGTGAGAACTGGGTTCTCAGCAACCTGTCCCACAGCCGAATGGGAGGCCCCTGTCATGTTGACAGGAGGGTCCCTGCAGCTGTGCCCTTGATTTGTTCTGTGAATGAAAAACAAGCCCATAGTGGGTGCATGGGGATCCATTGCACTGGCCGCAGGGCAATTATTTATTATGAGTCTTGAATACTTGCCTGATTGTATAAGGTTTTATTGTGGTTTTACACAGAGCACGAGAGCTCAGACTCAGTCATTTCCACAGCAGGGCTGGGTTGGGGGCGGGGAGAGATTTGGGGGCTCAGTGTGGGAGCTCCAGGTTTGCCTCTTGGCAGAGAGGTTCACAGACAACGTGAGATACTAGGGAACAGACCAGAAATCGCGCCAAATTCCTTTGTGCTTA